AAACCATTGTTAGGAGTTCGCTCCTGGTTTGGATAGTTTGAGTGTCTTTGTACAGTGGTCCCTCGGTTAACGAACGGTTCGGTTAACGAAATTTCGGTTAACGAATTAGCTCCCATAAGGATTTTCAGTTCGATTAACGAACAAAACTTCGATTAACGAAATCCTTACGACAAACACGTTTTGTTGTGCGCATCAGCTGATCAGCCAGTCCACCAATACAGTAATCAGTTCTATGTTTATTTAGTTTCCAGTGGAATAAATATCAAGAAAGTTGGTCTCTTGAATATTTCTGCATTTTTTATATTAAAATTATTAGTCATTCTGAAATTTAGTTAACATATTGATAAAATGTACAGTACAGGGAACAGTCTTTGTGCGCCCATCAGCTGATTGAATCACTCGACAACGCTTCACAGTTTAACTTTGTTTACAGTGGAGTGAACAATCAGTTTGTTTGGCTCTTGAATATTTTTGCATTTTTACATTAAAATTATTGGTCATTCTGAAATTTAGTTCACATATTGATAAGATACAGTGCAGAAATTATTATGAAACACGAAGAAGGCATTAGAACCAATGCACTCTGTAAAGAATATGGCATGTCATCATCGACTGCCTCTACAATCAGCTGTTTGATATGTAAACAAAGTTGCCGGGAATACAACATACACACCTCAAAGTAAGTTAAAATACAGTATGCTATTGTTTTTTATTTATTATTGTACAGTATACTGTACAGTTTATATTTAATGTTTTGTTACTTCTATTACTGGTATACAGTAATTTGTATGTACTTTTTCTGTGAGTTGGAACCAATTACCCAATATCCCATTGAAATAACAGATTCAGTTAACGAACGACTCTATGGAACGAAAAGGAAAAGCAATCAGAGACGTGACCGATCGCCCAAGCGGCTAACAAGTCGATCAGTGGCGAAGAGGATAAAAGTAAAAGTTAACTGAGGGACCACTGTAATGTCCCCTTTGTTTAGCCCTGACTTCCACTTATACACCTCTATCATATCGTCCCTCACTCTACGTCTCTTGAGGGAGTGCAAATTAAGATGCTTTAACCTGTCTCTGTACTCAAGGTTCCTAATGCCTGGGTTTAGTCTTGTCATTCTCCTTTGAATTCTTTCTAGGTATTCTATATCCATTCTGTAGTATAGTGACCAGAACTGAACTGCGTAATCCAAGTGAGGTCTCACAAGCGCAAGATACAGTATTAGGATGACCTCGCTAGTCTTGTAACTAACACGCCTTTGCATGAACCCAAGTACTATATAAGCCTTGTTTCGAGCAAATACACAGTTTACTTGGCTTAAGATTCCTACTTATCATTACTCCGAAATCTTTCTCACAGTCGGATTTCTCTATAACGTCGCTGTTCATCTGGTATTTGGTTTCTCTGTTTACATCTCCTAGACTAAGTACTTTACATTTGCCCACATTGAATTTCATCTGCAATTTTTCAGACCATTCAAAATTTTTTTTTTTATCTTCCTGTAGTTTTGCAGGGTCCTCATCAGATTTAATTACTCACCCTATTTTAGTGTCATCAGCAAAATTTACTTATGTAAATATCCATGTCGTTTATATATATAACAAACAATAATGGTCCAAGTACTGGGCCTTGGGGAACTCCACTAGTGACGTTAATCCAATCGGATTTAGTGCCGTTAATGCTCACTCGCTGTTTCCTGTCCTGTAACCACGCCCTAATCCATTTTAGAATATCTCCTCCAATGTCATGAGCATCCACTTTTCTTATTAGTCTTTCGTGGGGGACTCTGTCAAAGGCTTTGCTAAAGTCAAGATATACCACATTGTCCACCGATTCGAAAACAGCTGAAAAGAATGTTAATAGATTAGTTAGACATAAATGTCTGCTTGTGAAGCCATGTTGGGAATCATTAATCAATTTGTGCTTCTCCAGGTGATTTCGAATAGTTTGAAATTATTGCTTCCAGTAATTTGCCTACAATTGATGTTAAACTGATTGGGCGGTAGTTAGAGGATAGTGATCTATCTCCCTTCTTGCAAATTGGTATTGCATTCGCTATCCTCCAGGATTCTGGTACTACACCCGTTTTTAAGGACATGTTAAACAGATATGCTAAGAGCATACTAAGCTCTTCCTTACATTCATTTAATACAGTCGACCCTCGTTAATTCGGACTAATAGGGGGGGAAGGGTGTCCGTTTTAGCCGATTGTCCGAATTAACCGATTTAGGGGTTAATATTGCATTATATTTCAAAGAAAATGCAGTGAGTTTGTCCTTAGCCTTGCATATGTCCGAAACTGTTTGCTTTTTAACACCGTACTCGTCACAAACTCTAGCCACCGAAGCACCAGCCTCTAACTTCCTTATAAGTTCCAGTTTCTGATTCACAGAAAGGGTCACATACTTCCTCTTTGGCATATTACTCCCCCTTGAAGAAATGATGTAAAATACAAGGCTGAAAAATGCCTAATCACTGACATATCAACGAAAATTGCAGGGCAACACAACACTGATACTCGAATATGGCGCTAAGTCAACAAGGACTGGCGGTTTGGCATGCGCGCGCCATCTATTGGACAATCCCAGAACCAGAAATTTGATACCGACAGTCCCTCGCTTAGTTCGGATTTCGTCCGAATCATTCGAAATCCGGATTAAAGGGGTTCGAATTAACGAGGGTCGACTGATACTCTGGCAAATATCTCATCGGAACCTGGTGACTTGTTAGGCTTTAACTTGTCTATTTGCTTACTATCATCGTTACTAGTCACTACTATTTCGCTTAATTTATTTTCTTCACTATCTCTGTATAGAGTCGGTGCCTCGGGTATCATGTTTAAATTTTCGGTGGTAAAACTGTTGAAAAATATTTATTCAGATAATTGCTCATTTCTCCGTCGTTATCAGTTAGCTCGCCGGTATCCGACTGTATTGGTCCAATCTTTTCTCGTGTTTAGTTTGATACATTTGATAGAATCCCTTGGGGTTTAACTTCACCTCCCTTGCTACCTTCAGTTCATTATTCCTCTTTGCTTTTCTTATCTCGGTCTTAGCCCTACCGGCCAATACTGTACCTTATAATAATCTCGGAGATAAACTTCACCACGATTTATTCTCCTACCTGTAGCCTTCCTTTGGCCAATAATATTCTTTAAATAATTATTTATACATTTGGGGTCATTGTTGTTTGATCTAAGTGACCAGCTGCCCAAGACAATGACAGTAAAAAGTAAAGTAAAAGAAGTACTGAAAGTCACTCTCTTCAGGTCATTACAGAAAGTGTCTCTACAAGAGGACAAGTATAGGTGAAAAAAAATGAAATGTTAAAGAAAAGTTGAAATAAGTGAAACAATAAATGAGTGAGGGAAAAACAGTAGTGGAGGAAACCAATAAAGGATAAACATGTCAGAATAAAAGAACAAATGTGTGGTAGACTACTTGGAAGTGTAAATGTGTCCCAAGGTAACACCACTAACTCACTCACATAAGGAACTTGTTGTATGAATGGATGCAGCTAACCAGTCAACTTCTTCAACTTTCAAAATTTTTAAGTGTTTAACAAAAATGGACAAATAAAATTATGGGTAATAATATAGAAACAGACAGGAGCATAATGTCCATGCTCATCAACATCTGTGATCCAAGCAGGCAAGCGTGCAAGTGATCATGTTTAGTAAATTGCATACTGTAAATTTCATCAGATCCAGTGGTTATTTTATCTGTGACAAAATCCATGGATGCTCTTGCATAATTTGGTAACATGTAATCTATGCTTGGATAAAGTTAAAAGGGAGTACATGAAAAAAGTAAACTTCAAAAACTGCTGTATGATACTGTTGATAGCTTCTGTATACAGTATCACTGAATACAAAAAGAGCCTCTTTCTTCAGTATAAAAAAGGCTTATGTTACACTGAGATTAAATAATTTGGGCAAATAAATACTACACCAATAAGATTATTGCTTTCTGTCACTAAAGCATGCCAGTTTTATTACAGAATGGCCCTTCTGTCAATAAAACCTTACAAGGTAATAAAGAGCTTAGCAATCTAGTGCTGTACTGTATTTCAACTTGTAATCTAGTGAGTTACAACATAAGCTTTCCTTTCACCTCTACTGCCATTAGAACAAGAATATTTTTAACATCTGATACATATTAAAAAACACATACTGTAGCCATCTAATATGTAACCCTATATGATTCATAATATTATATTTTTAATTATTTTTGCTGTAGTGAGACATATTATAGACCCTATTAGGTGAAGTAACTGACTAAAACTGTATACTATAACGATCTCTATTTACCAGTAAGTATATATAACCCATATATGTAAGACACATATACTAATACTCTAGACATTCATATTATTATAAGTTGGACTCTGCTAATCTCTTTATGACATCACCTTTTCTACCCAAATAAAAAGCACAGGCAGAGATCACACAATTGTCATCCCCAAATCTATTCACTTCACTCATACACTCAAACTATGGTCAGGAAATTTGCTTCTTTTGGTTCTCCACTCTACAGCTCAAGCTCTTCACTCTCCTTACCCCACAGTGATTCTCCTCTACCTCTGCCTGTCATCACTTAACTTAAACCTACTAATTGACTCTGGTTACAGACAATAACCTTAACCAGCACTCTAACTAAACACATATGCTCCTCTATCTCCTGAGAAACACATCATTTGTAAACTTCATTCTCCAATACCATAAATTTTTCACAGCAATCTTAAAATTTTCAAATTCACAAATGATGTCACATGCATTCTTTTTGTTTTAAAGCAACAGTTTATATCACCACCATAGTCATCTCTCACATGGCAAGCACTCTGGGTAATCTTAATTCTCTCAAGTCATTACTTTCTCAAATATTCCATATCTATATATAAAGACTTGACTCATGAACACTGTGGATATTTCCAATAAGCAGTACAAGGTCAGAAGGTTTAGAGAAACATAATGAGTATGTGAGCATCAAACACCTTACCTCCCTAGAGCTTTTTTCCACAATCTCATCTGTGGTGAGACGACGTTTTATGATGTGCAGCTTTAGCAGTTTTTCCAGCTTATCAGAATTAAGTATCACCTAAAAAATTAGACAAAAAAAATTCATAAAACACCTAAAAGGCTCCTCCCTGATGACTGGGATGAATTTATTAAAAGCATTACACATACTGAACACTGACACACCATGAGCTACTATACTGTACTGTTTAACCCTGCATGACCTAGTAGCAACACTAGGGTAGAGCATTATCAACTGCTGCATGATTTATCTAAGCTTTCTAATTAATAGATATAAATTATAAAGTCTAATTAATTGATACTGTATACCATAATGACCCATCTGGTACACAAATATTAGTTCAGTCTCCATGAACACACATGAAGTAACCATAATGTCATATAAAATGTGAAGTTCTGTCAATAACAGATAAACAAACACATGTCTAACTAAACCTAATAATGCATCACTGATGTAGGCCCCAGTCTCCATCTTAGTGGTCTTGACTACATCACTGATGTGCATACAGCCAGACAACTATGTTTTATGATGGAGTTTGGTCAAAACAGTGTTGGAATAACCTTGAAAGCTATCCTGTAAGTTTGACCTCAATTGGCCTATTCATCTTTCAATTACTCACAAGACAAATTATTTCCATAATGTGGAGTCACTGTCATGTTGAAATAGACAAAAGTCATTAGGTTTCGACACCATTTTTGCTGGCTCTACCCTGCTAGGTAAGTATGACTTACTGTAACCTTAAGTGGTTCACATCACTGACTGGGAAGGATACTTTTTGATATGTTAAAAGTTAAATTGTCATAAATCTCTTGTTGGTAAATTACATGGTACAGTTAGGTCAAAACGTTTCTCAAATACCTTGAATCACTGACTGGCCCAGATAATAAATTGGCTCTAAATCTATAATGGGGACTCGTGAATTAAGTTTTACTTGATGTGACCACGACAACTCTGAAGATATTACATTACTATACAGTATTGGACAAAATAAGTTGGCCTCTGTAAAATGTTTGCTCTAAAGCTACAGTTATAAAGAACTGAAAAAAATGTCAGAATTAATACTGAAGAGTTTAAGAGTTTACTTATTGACCAATACTCATATATGAGACATTAAAGTCAATGTTAGATAAATATTTTTTATTTAAAAGGATAACAACTCACCTGTTCAAGTCGCTCTGCATTGACCTTCTTAAAGGCTTCATTGGAGGGAGCAAAGAGAGTGAGATCTTTCTCCACCACCAGGAGGTCAGTCAGGTCTGGGTAGTGCTCACGTATCAAATTATAAAACTTGCTCAGCTGACCCTCGCTCTCCTGGTATAAGAAATATTCAAAATTTACTTTCAGTAATAATCAGCTCTTATCCACATGTATTTGCTCACTTCATAAGTCTGAAATATGACATCTAAGTAAATTTTTAGCCTTAGGATGATATTACAAAAGTGGCTGTCAACATACTTTACTGCACAGTTGCCTCCACATGAATGTACCACAGCCTGGGAGTGTGTGAGGGCTAGGGTGTAAGATGTAGCAACACAGTGCCATAGACAGGGCTAATGAACTGGGCATAAAACAGTGAAATTACCCTGTTTGTGATAACAGGTAAACAATAAAGGAGGTAAACAGATAAACAAACCCTGTAATACATGTTATGCCGTAAACACAACCGAGTGATTATGATTGAACTACGAGGAACCGGCAAACAGGACAATCCATGGTTTCACGTCCATGATTATGGTGCTGCAATGCCACATCTTGTAAATGTGTTCCCCCCCCCCACCCCCACACACACACACCTAAGCCATGGTATGATCATGTGGAGGCAACTGTACATATATCAATACCTAACATATTCCTTGCGTGTAATAAGAGTTTGCCTTTAATGTCACTCACCACACTAATAAAGACTATAAAATCTTGACCAAATGTTTCAATGTTACTCTACAGCTTCACATATTGAGAGGCTAGTATGGTCCATCTTATACTAATGCATCTACAATTAAAATGGTAGTATGATAGAACCTTACTAGTATAATCTTGAATTTTTATATACAGTATTAACATTATGTACTTATAGTTCCTTAATGATGTATCACAGTAGCAGCAAAACACAAGTGCACAGTACTGTACCTGCAAGTAAGATATGATGCTTGAAGCTACAACCATTAGGGGTCTATCAATGAGATGGACGACGCCATTTTTAACTGGAATGTTTCCTTTCACAATCCTTGCCAGAACTGTTCCCTTGTAGTGTGAGATGTCACTGGCCACTGTATTACTTTTGACATAATCTGTGGACACAAGATCAGTTACTATTTCCACACTGATGGCAACATGTTGCTTAACAAGATAAGTTATAACAGTATTAAACAAACAGTATACTGTACAGTATAGTCCAGCATTATATGTTATTTATTCAAAATCTTTCCTGAGAATTGTGACAAATAAATAAATAATATCAAACACACAGTATGCAGATATTACACCTCTTATTACAGACAGTGAAGAGGCATTATAAAGCTGTACTGTACTGTACTGTACTGTACTGTACTGTACTGCGCTGCACTGCACTGTACTGCACTGCACTGCACTGCACTGCACTGCACTGCACTGTACTGTACTGTACTGTACTGTACTGTACTGTACTGTAATGTACTGTACTGTACTGTACTGTACTGTACTGTACTGTACTGTACTGTACTGTACTGTACTGTACTGTACTGTACTGTACTGCACTGCACTGCACTGCACTGCACTGCACTGTGCTGTACTGTACTGTACTGTACTGTACTGTACTGTACTGTACTGTACTGTACTGTACTGTACTGCACTGTACTGTACTGAATTGTACTGTACTGTACTGTACTGTACTGTACTGCACTGTACTGTACCGTACTGAATTGTACTGTACTATACTGCACTGTACTGAATTGTACTGTACTGTACTGTACTGTACTGTACTGTACTGTACTGTACAGTACTGTACTGTACTGTACTGTACTGTACTGAATTGTACTGTACTGTACTGTACTGTACATGTCAAAAACACAGATACTTGAAGACAAGAGTCTTTCCAAATGTGGCACTGCAGAAGACTGATAATATTCTATACCTATAGAAAACAAATGAAGAAATGCTGTACAGTACTATGAATGGCAGGAACAGTGAGAGAAAACTAAAGAGATAGATTAATGAAGTAATCAAGCTTCATACTATACCTACAGTTAGATATTAGGGATTAATTGTAGATATTAATGGGTAAGACAGAGAAAAAGAATGTCAGGGAAAGGCAGAGACTGGAACAAATGAATAAGATTAAAATAGGCTTAAAAAAAAATCTGAAAGTATTAGTAAAGTACACACTGCTTGAAGTGGTGGGTCGTGCCTGCTGGCCCTCACACCTGAGGGACTGACTGACATTATTATCAGGTTATATAAGTCTCAGCAACTTTTATCCATAACAGTTTCTCCAAGAATATTGGATGATAAGACAGCACTGATAAATGTCTATATAGATGTTTGGAATGTGGGATGGTTATTAGTCTGTAAAGATTTACAATAGTACTGTACAGAGGAAGACAGTTGAGGGAGAGTAAACTACTGTACAGTATTAAGATGTGATGACCATAATGTTTATGTTTGAACAGCAGACTCAATACAGTACTGTACAGTATAATGAGTTTAGAAGATACAAAACACTCAAGAGAGCAGATAGCATCTTCTCTTTCCAGGTATAACTGGTGCCTTAGAAGGTCCTCCAAATATAGCCAGAAGATATAATGAGCTGTATCATCACCACACTCCTTCATGACCTACATCACTTTTACCAAAGGCTTATTATACAGTATACTGTATCCACACTATCCTTAATTTTTCAGAAAGGGACCAAACCTAATTTATTATAAAAACAGACCTTGAGTACTATAAAAGGTTGACCTTCAGATTTGATATTTACATGCCTCTAGAACACAACCTAAGGGAACAACCTTACTAACAAGCTACTGGTAGTCCGCGGGCAGCTCTCAAGTAATATGACCCTATGTGTGGTAAAGAGCAGCTTAGTGCTGGAACCAATGTTAATGTTTTTACTTCCAGTGATGGTCGAGACTACTGAATTATTATTACTTGAAAAGGCTAAAGATAAGTTGTTTTTATCTGTCAAGTTAATTCCAATCGAATATCAAAGTATTTTATGTAAGATTTATGTACACGGACTATGTGATCATAAGTAAATTTCTTGATGGCCTAACCTTAATATGTGAACTTGACAGTCACAGACTTTACAATGTTGTCAATGTATGCATTTTGTTCATTATAATCACCAATTTGCCAGAAATTTTCAAATATTTTTTCATATCATCCTCTCCATGTATGAGGTGCTGGCCCCACTCTTATTAGGTAGCCCAATCTTTCTTGCAGCCAAAAGTCTCTTAGACCACACACTCCCATAAGATTCACCCAAATTTCTTCTTAGCCACTGTCTTCTTCTATGGCAAAGGATTATACTATGGATTATACTAACACACCCACAGGCTTCTCTCACACTATCACTGTCTGTAGAGCTTATAATAACCACTTAATAAGAGAAAATATTCAACAACTTGCACAGTTTATCACCCAACTAGGTTACCCTCCTCCCCACACATGCATGGTCCCACCTCCTGTTGTTCGTCATAAAAAGGTAGCACAGTAGGTTAAAAAATAATGGAGGTATCAAGTAAGACTTAAGACTAGATTGTAACAGGAATCAACATTAATAGTGAGGCCCATAGAGCAGTGCAGATACAACACATTGTATACTGTGCAGTACTAAGGAGGCAGTCTAATAAAACAGTGAATGTGAATCCCATTGGCCTGACTGCTCTTTAGGGAAGCAGCATGGCTGGCACTGCACTCAACAGCCTCACTTCCCCAACTGTAAAGTCAGGTTCCAATTTGCAGCTGGGCAAACTAGGCCAGTTTACCTTAAGACTGAAAATTTAACATTAACAATCAGTATATATGTAGTATTACAAGAACCAAATTTTAAGCTTCACACAAGAAGAAATACTCACAAGTCATTCCCTCACTGTCAGAGTTGGACACATTCTCCATTGAGATAAACACCTTCAGGTTGTCTGTGAAGGCATAACTCTCGAACTGCTCAAGTGAATTTGCCACAGTACGTGTGAAGAGGACCTTCTTGGGCACAACATGGCTGTGGATGACTTGCTTGTCTACAAGCTCCTGGTCCGTGCGCATTAAAAGCTGAAGAAACACATGAAAGTATTGTAAGAAAAACTATGAAGACCTTGAGTGTAAACTGATCAGGTATTGTGAGCCGTAGGTTACTGGGAAAAAACAAAAAACAATGAAACTGGAAGAGCACAGCGGGTAATGTACTTTATATTTAGTCATTTTATGGTTAGAGAGAGAGAGAGAGAGGGCAAAACATGGTGAACTACTTTAATCAATGAAGATCATAATATGAGCTCCTGTACTGTACTGTAGTAACTTAGTATGGTATGGGAGGAGAAATACAATATGGTCAACATGAGAGATAAGTGCAAATATTTTGGGTCATAGTAAATTGTTTTCAGTTCATGTTATGAAGTGAATGATGGATTTTCTGGTGAAATACAATATTGAATTGCTAAAACAATATACAGTATATAAACTGTACTGTATATGATAAGGTAATTTCATGATAGGAAGCTGTAAGATGCCTACAAATTTATTTTGGGGTAGAGGAGGGCACTTTTCACTGATGAAAACATACCCGGTAATATTGATTAATTAAAAAACAAAAAAACAAAAAAACACATAAATACTCCAAATTTAATCTTTGGGGAAGACGATTGTACTGTACAATAAATCTCTGTCTTCAGATGCTGTTGAGTTTTCAAGAAGAGACTAATGTTGAGCAACACCCAGGAGATATACATGAGTGATAACCTCAGTTGTAAGGTCAAGGCTAATGACATTTGTATGACTCCAGTTTCAATGAGTTTCAATGGAGGAAAAATATTTCAAATCATTTAAGATTCAGCATCTGACCTATGCAGTACATCACTGGGAGTATACTCATTTACAGTTGGGTAGTACAAATATAATCCTATACAGTATATATATATATATATATATATATATATATATATATATATATATATATATATATATATATATATATATATATATATATATATATATATATATATATATATATATATATATATATATACTGTATATACACAGGAGGTCCCCAGGTTACGTATGTCCAACTAAAGAACATCCACTGATATGAACGCGGTCCCCATAAAGTACATTATTTTAAGAATCTGACGTAGGTACAACCGTTCTTAGTAATGTATGAGAACTTGTTTGTTTGGCGGAACTGCGGGGCAGAGCGGCGAATGAAGAGTGGAGCGTCACCCAGCCAGGCGCCTTGTGGAAGCGTCATCCAGCCAGGCGCCTTGTGAGAGCGTCATCCAGCCAGGTGCCTTGTGGGAGTGTCACCCAGCCAGGCGCCTTGTGGTAGCATCAGTACGCCTTATGCCTTACACTCGTCTCAGCAGCATGTGTGATTAAGTGCAAAGTGGCTTTTGTTTTTCGTTTTTTTATTGCTTATTAGCTCTATTTTTCTGCCCTCATCATGGCCCCCAAACACAAACCTGATGCAAGTGATAGTAGTGCATCCAAGAAAAGGAAAACAATTACAATGGAAGTGAAATATTATGTAATTAAATGTTCTGAAAAAGGTGAAACGCTGTCAGTCATTGGTAGAGCACTGAACTTCAGTTGGTCAATGAATGGAACAATTTTGAAAGACCAAGACAAAATTCTTGAACATGTAAAAGGATCAACACCAATATAGTCAACTGTGATAACAAATACAAAGAAGTGAATTAATAATTGAAAGGGAAACATTGTTAGTGATATGGGTGGAAGATCAAAATCAATGGTATATGCCAGTAAGCCTAGCCTTGATTTATGAAAAAGCAAGAAGCCAGCCCCAGGTTTCAATGTAATAGTTAAACTTTTAATTTATATTATTTTATTTACCTGATGACTTATTTCTCACTTTCATTTACTGCATTTTATAATTCTATCTCTTCTTTTCTCTTAAATTAAGTGATTTTAGATGTATATGAGGACTTAGGCTATGATATAGTAAGATTTTAAACATTGTTTTGTAAGTACAGTATGCACATAGGGGATGCGGTTCTACTTAAGTATACTTTCAACTTAAGAACACCCGTAGGAACAGAACTCGAACATAACCCGGGGACTGTGTGTGTGTATGTGTGTGCATATATATATATATATATATATATATATATATATATATATATATATATATATATATATATATATATATATATATATATATATATATATATATATATATATATATATATATATATATATACAGTATTCCAAAACAGGTAAATTGGTGCCAAAGGCGATCAAAATCATCATTTGTCTTTACTAAATAAACCAAACGTCCATATATATAGTATTTTCTATTTTAACATAAACTGCACTACAATATTTAACCTGCCGTGGGGAACTAACACTTTAGGCTCATAATGACTGATCGTATTACCATAAATGAAAGACAGACAAGCAAGTAAAAATCTAACTGTGTTTAAATGTTTAGGTATAAACATTTAAACACTTTAAAAGCAGCTAATATACAGTTAGACACAGTTATTTTATATATATATATATATATACTGTATCAGAGGATGTAGGCTAACCTATATATACTGTACTGTACCAATATCAAGAATAACATTACTGATAACGAACCTTGTATCACTAAGAAAATCACTTAAAATGTGAAATTAAGCCACAAATAAAGAGGGTCCATCAGTGGAGACAAAAGAGAAACTTCTAAATATAGCCCTTAAGCAGAGTACTGTAGTTCATCCTTGCTGTTCACTATAAAAGCACTCCATAAAATCAACAATGTATTCAGCATAATTTGCAGTCTTTCAACAAAGACCTCTTAGATATCAGTACTGTTATTAGGTTAACAACAGCTGCAGGAGTAATAAGAAAAGAAAAATATACATTAAACTACTCAAAGTGCAAACAACATTTAGCATACCAGACAACAACATGTACTGTACTGTACTAACCAAATGTCAAAATATTGTTTGCATTTGCAGGAGGGTTGACTAAGATTCTGCATTTCACATGATATAATGGAGCTAATGTCTTCCTAGAGAGAGACCCTTTAACTCATGTGACACACTGAATCTAATCTTATTCCCTGCAGTATTAATGTATTCACGGCCTGACAACAACTTCATCATAGAGAGAGAAAGAAAATCTCCATCTAATGAGGTTGAGTTATAAATAAGTCGTACAAATTGGCACAAAAAACTTTTACGTAAAAGTTACTAAAATATGTGAACAAGAGAGAATTTTGTATCATGATTGTTTCTATAATGAAGTATGACTTTAAATTCCATTGACATTATGTTTAGTCTTATAAATGTCATAAACTACTCCAGCAATCATACCCAATTATGAGTTGGCTATTATTATATAATGAAGAAGCCCATCTACTACTACACATACCACCCTAAACTACTCAGGGAAATATTGAAACTGAACATAAAAAAAGCAATTTGCATTGTTGGTTGGTTCTTTAAGTGCGAGTACAACAGATGTCCATTATATTATTATTAACGTTATATCACTTGTAATAAAATTTCATCATTATGAGATAAGTATTGGCGGAACAGATAATGGTAACTCAGACAGTCCGATGAAAACTGGTCGGTGATCAGTGTTTTCTAATACCTGTACTGGTCACATGTTAAATTTTACAATACAGTATATAAATTCAAGATTACTGTGTAAATTTCCAAGAAAATGAGAATCATTATATGATATGGATATAATTTTCAATATACAGGTAAGTAATATCTCCGTTAGCCAGACTGCCTCTTGGCCGGAAATCGGCAAGGACTGGAAATCACCAAGAGGAGGAATTGAAATTTGCTCGAAAATTTTCCGGAAAATTTCTCTCAATTCTCGGGTTGAGAAAGATTTTCTGAGGTTGAAAATCAAGCGCATTTTCTGGGAAAAAAAAAAAAAACTCCAATTTTTTTCCCAGGGCTGGGAGCAAATTCCAAGGATGAAATAATGCACAATTTCAGGAAAATTCTGAGAAACTTTTGCCAGTACCCGAAAAAATTCCAGGGATGGGGTAATTTTTCCGGGTTTGAAAGAGTCGTCTCGTTACCCGAAAATCTCTAATTTCCGGAAGTGCTCTGCCCCAAATGTTCCGGCTAATGAGGATATCACTGTACTGTATATAAGTATCAATCAAATGGCCATATGTTTTGTGTTCTATTTCAAATACTTTACCCAACAGACATCTAAAATTAACCAGAAGTTACAATGTCAGTATAAGTTTAGCACATTGCTCCATGTACAAAATTTTGACATACAAGATGGGTCAAGAACCAGCATTCTACAATTAAAGCTGAAGCAGCATGCTTAGCTATCTGGTTTTTCCAAATTATCTTTCCCATGTGTTAATAACCTAACAATTTATCAAAAAATCTATTAGCAGCAGCTCTAAGCATTTTGTATAATGCAAGAAAATGACCTGGTGAATGTCTTCAGAACTTTACTTGCAGTAGTACAGAGTCAGTTTGTTAGTCGTAAGAAAGCACAAGTGGAGAGAGCACAAGTAAAGCCTCCGTCAACCACCACATCACGTCTACCAACATAACCATGCTTCTTATGGGATAAAGAGGTGCATGAGGAAACAAAAAGTTTTTTCTTCCATAGGTAGGCACATCCTTTTTCTTATACTCACCAAAAGTTTCAAGTTGGAAGCAGTGGGTCGAGAGGAAAAAACAAAGAGAAAAATAAGATAAATAAGATGCTCAACACCCAATTGAATTTAAAATTATTTATGATTTTTTCTTTTCCTTTTTTTAAGAGGGAGCGCACTTTAGCATAGCCTATTACAGTATTCAGTCCTTTTGATATAATTTGGGTTGTATTAGTGGTAGTATTTTTTAATATAAGTTTCTTAGATGTTTAAAATTGTAACTTTACAAAAAATTTCCCAAAACTGAATTTGTCTCTGGCATGAACATAAATATATACTGTATGTGTGTTTTATATATATATATATATATATATATATATATATATATATATATATATATATATATATATATATATATATATATATATATATATATATATATATATATATATATATATATATATATATA